AGCATTTGAAATTTGATATCCTACGCGTGTAGGTACTCGCTACATTGCTACAGCATAGTTACCTAAATTTATATACCTATACACTTTTGCCATGAAAACGGATGTTTTAGAACAATTTACTAACCTAATTTTACGAAAAAGAAACGCAACAATTAAAAATGAACCTTGTGTATTCCATTGTAGATGCATGTTATGTATGTTTTTTTTAAAGTTTTTTTTCATATTAATATTATTATCATTTATTTATTAAAGTTACGTTAGGTAGGGTCATCAGATAGAAGTACATAGCCTTGTGTCTATTTTATTTATTATAATACATTATGCACATATTTTTTCTCTTTACCATCGCTGTTATTACTTTTGATACGCAATGTAGGTACTGTCCTCAATGTTCAGCAACCGTGAACCAAAAACCGGAATAAATCGTTGCCGCCGAACTCTGTACGCATGTTTTATTCCGACGATGACCCTATAAAATCGTTGTACATAAGTACAATAACATTATTATGATATTTACATGATATAACGTTTACTATACCTAATAAAAATAAATTCGCTCAAACATTCATTTATTGATCGGTCAAAGAAATTATCTACGAAAAGCAATATTGGAACAGTTTTATTATTATGATGTTTAAATATTACGAGGACCGATAACATAATAATACGGCGATGACGTATACAAGGTCCGGCATGTATTAAACATAATATATAATATTAGCATTGAGAAATTAGCTGCAAAAGAACGGACATAACTTATGATTTAAAAATAACTGCCGTTGGAAGACGTCGACCTTGAATCGAATAATAATAGTTATTTAATCTAAGAAAAAATCTCTTACGACAAAAGATCATAATGTATAAAAACGCCGTGTAGTAAAGATACATTTGTATTGTATATTAAGTGATTCTCCGAGATATTCGTTAATTGGTAAACATATATATATATATATATACATTTTTTTAACCATTAATAGGAGGCGACTACTTCTACACAGTGTCTAATTATACAGTTTGGTAGGCTGCAATTTTTTAATAATGCTAAGTATGTATTTTGCGTCTGCTTTGCGAACCAGATAAACTGATAAATAATACAGAAATAATTATTAAAAATACTTTCTTGATGAGTACTATCATTGCCATCTAGATATAGAGTAAAAATAATAAGGTACCTGAATATATGAATAATAGGTATGTACCTGATGTATGAACTTTAAAATAATCTACTCAATAAAATATTTAATTTGCAATTTTACTATAAATGTTAATTATGGGCTATAGCCCATAAACTCAAAATATAACCTAAGCGCAACCCAAAACGCAAAAATAAATATTCCATAAGTGCAAAAAATAAATACCTTCTTAACAAACCATAAGCGCAAATAAATTTCACAAAAATAAAATACTCTTTATTAAAGTCATATAGTTATTAATAGTTATTAGTAGTTGTCTGATAAAATACCATTTAAATCATGTGTCAATTAAAAATAAATTTAAAGTCATATAGTAATCTTTTAGTTATAACTTAAAATGTATATTAACTATCAAGTCAAATACCATTTGATATAAGTTTATACTGTATATATTGTATAGTTAACTCAAATGATTATCAACTTTTACCTTGATTTGTTACGATAAAATACGATATGATAATACTTTAACTACAACTGAACTACATCACTGTTGATGTATTTTTCAATTATAAAAATACTGTATATTTAATTAAAATGAACAATTTAATTTAATAATTAATAGTTTTAAAATGAAACTTATGGTGTAACGGGTACAATATTTATTTTAGCGATTTCATCCCACTACTAAGGTACAAAAGCGCAAAATGAATTTGCGCTTTTAATCTATCAATAAAATAGACGATTCGCGCTTTTGAATTTCACCGTAATTATGACTTAAAAGTCACGTCACCTTATTGTACTAGTATGATTTTGAAATTTGAATATAATACGAGTATATTATTAAAAAAAATTTTTTTCAAAAGTTCGTAAATATTGTAATATAATATATGTATGATATTACCATCCAAGGGTGACTAATACTGTCACGAATTTATTTCAATAAAATAATACATATATGTTATACTATAATAATATATTCAAATGCAAAATTATTATTTAACATTGTTATTAGCTCAATTTTTTTAACTAGAAATTTATTGTATGCACTTATATATTAATATACTATTATAAATAAGTTATTAGAGTTAAAAATCAAAATACTAATTAATGTACTTAAATAATGATTAGATACATTTATATTACTATTTCTCACTTATAGTTACCCATAATATAAACATTAAAATAATTTACCCGATAAACTATTTTAAATTTATTGTTATACTATAAACGTAATTATGAATTAAAATTCGCATCATTTGTACAAATATGGTTTTGAACACATCATTTAAAAACGTTTTGTAAAAAAATAAACATAAATATCGTATTAAATACATAATATATTAAAATATATTCGTATAAAAAAAATATTATTTATTAACTATTATAATTTTTATTGATTAATTTCTATTTTTATTTTTAGACTCAAACATACGTATATAGTGTAGGTATACTTTAGTGCTATGTAATAAAATGCAAGTGATCCTTAGTGTATTTAAATCTTTATTGGTGGCCGGTAGATATGCAATAAACTGCTTAATTAGGTATTTTTTTTTTTTTTTTGTTCAAATATTATTAATATAATTACGGCTTTATTATTAATACAGCAAATAGATACCCATTGAAATTGAACGTTAGTAATATTATTTAATGTTATAGGAAACCATGCGGAGCTAATTAAACTATTGTAATAGTACATTTTGTTTTAAAAACGGAAATTAAACGTATTATTAATCACTCTGAAATATTAAGAGTTATCGTTTTATTGTCAAGAGTTTAGTGTTCTCCGGTATTGCACCTGTGGGAGATCGCCCTTGATAGTTACCTATATATCCCATACACGGTGTTTAATAATATTATAAATTATAATATATCATGCTCAATATCCGGGCAATAATAATTATTGTCTGTGCTATTCGTTATAGCTTATTAGTTAAACATACAATAATATATTATGTAGAGAACCTCGACGTGACTTATTGTGACGCATTTGTTCTGCGATATCACGGGATCGACGATTGAAGCGTCATCGATTCGGTCAACAGCAGACAATAATAAACAAGTAATATTATCATATTTATTACGAATATGTAGTATACAGTGTTTATTTAATCAATGAAAATATAATAGTAATATATATTAAATAACACCTCACACTTTATAATTAAATAATATTTTACGATAATAACCGCAAACGATAAATAGCTCCAAAAAATTACAATTTACGTCATACCTATATAGTATATATATATACATACCTGTCATACCTATATATAAATATCATGTATGTATATATAGGTTTTTTCTGCATATTTTCACACTGTTTATTCGATCGCCAAAACCGGTGTGAGACGTTTAGTTAACTGCAAAATTCACTTCCGCGTAGAACAAACACTACAATACTCTCATCATACATCGTCACAGACAATACATGCCAATAAAGGTAAGTCATTTGTTTTATGCGTATACCCTCAAATATATGATAATATTTAGTCGCATATTTGTGCCAGAGTCCTACAGGTACATCGAAGTTGATGAAAGGAAGGGCACAGTACTTTTATCTAGATCATTTTTAATTTGACAATGTTATTTTTTTAAATAAATTTGTAAGCAATAAAAAATTAATATTATTATTAATAATAGATTATTAATAGATAAAAGATTAATTATAAACCCATTCTAGCATAATTATTTCATAATTAATAAAAAGAAAGAGAGAGAGCTTATGAGAGCTTTCGCCTTCTATGGCCCTAGGGACACCAGGTTCATGTTACGTCACTGATAATATTACCATATTTTCATAATGTATTCGTATTTGTATATTATAAATTTTTGAAAGTGAATTGTCGAATCACCTGCTCACGAGACTAAATTAAGATTTTTAATTTTTTTTAGTTTTATAAATAATAACTCATGCTATAACACTAATTTTTATAAAACATCAAGAAATTAAAATAAATAAATAGTTTTATATAGTTTTTCCGTAGTACGACAAATGTCTTTTCACATCGATGTCGATAATAATTAATAATATTCGAATTTTCGAATACCTAATATATAAAATTTCATCGAATATTTATATCGACTTATGGATTGTCATTCGATTTAATATATTATTACTTAGATATTACACATTTAGAATATATTTTTGGATATAAAACATATTTAATCAGGGTTAGATTTAGGGAAATGCAATTGGCACAATTGTGCTGGGTAGTAAATATAATTTTATGATAGACGGTACTAATGGAAATAGTGAAAAAAAATTATATTTTTTTAAATGTTATATGTTTGAAGTACATAAATTAGTTCTTTCACAATAGATTTACAATTATTTATTGTAATATACAGTTATCGTTGAATAAAAACGATTCTGTTTCAGTGTATAAGAAAAAACCCCATCACAAAGCCCCAATAAAATGTCAAAAAAAAAAAAAAATTATATTATATATTATGTTATTATATTATTTAACCAAATCAATAATGGTGAGGCACCCTCCTGCTAGCTGTACAGTTTTCATGTTAAGTCATTTTCTAGACGAAAAAATAAACAAAAGACTAATATAATAAACCGAAAATTAGTAGGTGAAGTAGCAGAATTTGTTTTACTAGTCAGTGCAATAAATTCTAAACGTGACCCTGAATTTAGTCCAATTCTTTTAATCTCGATACGCACCCCCATTCCTCCCCTTTCTATCGTGAGCCATAAAATCCACCACCCTCGTATTTGTGCGCTACTTACACACACACACACACACACACGCACACACGCACACACACACACATACACACACACACGCACGCACGCACACACGCACACGCACAATACCACACTGAGACGATCGTAAAATATTTTTAATGTAACCTAACCTCAGACGTTTCCGGCCGCAAACCGCGTGCGTTATCGCCCTCGCGATATATTCAGACTCGATCGTATCCGCCGTCGTCGTCGTCGTCGACGTAGTCGTCGTAGTGGTCGTCGAACAGCGGCGGTAGCCGATGGCCGCCCGGCCGTCTGATCGCGTCGAAACACTCGTGGTCGCACGCTTCCGGAGCAGTCGGCCTGGCGTCCGGGTCAAACCGGAGCGTGGCCGTTACCAGCCGGACAGCGTCGGCCGGTGCCCATCTCGGGAACTCCGGCGGACGCGCGACCAACGCTCGCTGGTGCTCGACGCTCGTCCCGAGGAACAGGGGAACGCCCGCCATGAGTTCGGCGTAAACACAACCGGCGCTCCACACGTCCACCGCGGCGGTGTAGTCGGGCGCGTCGGGCGGTTGATCGAACAGCAGCTCGGGCGCCCGATAGCGGCGGGAGCAGGCGTACCGAGCGTTCGGCCGGCCGTCGGACAGGTCCTTGGCGCTGCCGAAGTCGCACAGCTTGAGCACGCCCGTGGACGGGTACAGCAACAGGTTGCTGGGTTTCACGTCCCGGTGGCACAGCCCCGCCGTCCAATGCACGTATCCCAAGCCCCTGAATATCTGGTACGCGTACAGCTTACCGTGGCCGGTGCTCGCGGTCCGACCGACTGCGGCCAACCGCCGGATCGCGCGGTCCAAGTTGGTCGGCGCCAGTTCCATTACCAAGTTTAGCTGACTGCCGCCGCCGCCGCCGCCCGTGCCGTCTGACCCTGCACCGCACACATAACGTCACTACATGTACACTGTCGTGCCCCGATCGAGATGATGACGTATTGTGTTGGCTATGTGTCACTTAACGCGCATAACATTGTGAAGATAATAATAATAATTCGTTTATTCGGGTATTTTTTATTTATTTAATTTTTTAAGTCAAGAGCATAATTAAAGTGTTTTAAAATATATTATATACAAATTTAAAACATTATCTGCGATTTTGTAATAGTATTATAAATAACTGCAGAATAAAATTAATTCTCAAAAAAAAAAATTCACTAGGCATACTTAATAATTAGTTTATGTTATGCGCGTTATTCAGCTACATGAGTTAACATATGACATGAGGATACGAATACCTGAACTATGTATTTCGATTTTCACTTATCGATCCTGCGTTAGGTCAGGTTACGTGTATTATATTGTAATAGGTAAACTTCGTGCGCCTTGTTTTTTTATTTTTATATAAATTATTTGTAATTGGGTTAAGTAATACATGCGCAGTTATTCCGTTTAAGGTTATGGCACGCATTTCACTACATATAATTATTACCTATATAGTATACACGTCTCAACAATTTTTAAGCTAGTTTAAAAATTACATAAATTCCTTCAGACATTCATTGTCATGATCTCGGTCCAAATTTTATGAATCATACAATAATTATAAAAGTATTTTATAACTTTAACATTTAGTATAGGTATTTTCAAAGTCAATGAAAAATGTTATTTATATTATTATATACCTATGTTTACAATATTACATCACTAAACTCATACATTACACATACAACCTTTTTAAGTATGTAATAAATTTCGATATTTCGATAAAAAATTTAAAATAATAATAGTATAATAATGGTTACTTTGCAAGGTATGAGAATATAATGAAAATTGTAATTATTTTTTTAGTATTGTGGTATTTTGATATAGTAGGTCGATTATTTTGTAGAAATTTTAGCCGCCGGGGAATCGTTCGTTTCGTTAATATAATTTATTGCATGTAAAAAACTGACAACCGATAATTTCGATAATCCCCGACTAGTTCAATCACTTGTTGCGATAATGGTACTTATTATCAGTTCCTGTCAAATTTGATGTAAATCGATGAACGAATACGATTAATAAACACGACCAAAAACTGCAGACGAATTTAGTACACCAAATGAAATATATTAATCTTACTGATAATTATTATATTATTGTTATCAATTTAGTAATTAATAATTAATTTTAAGCGTAACAATTAAAAGTAGTATAAAGTTATTTTATATAAAAAAAAATAAATATATATAATATATATATTATATTACTATTAGTCGATTTTAAATTTTTATCACAACTATGTATACGCATATATTGTTTATTCCATATTCATTAATTAATATTCATGTACTAATAAAGTAATAAACAAGCGTTAATTCGATAACATCGCTAATAAGACGTCATGATTATTTATTCCTATGAAAATCTTTGATTACATAAATTTATTAAGTTTTATTTAATACGTTCTACCCCTTACTATGTAGCGTAGCCAAACCAGCCAACTATTTTTTAATAAGAACTCATCTTGTCTAAAATTGTATGTATATATATATATATATATATATATATATATATACGTTACCCATGAATAAAACTTCGAGTTACATAAATCCTCTATAAAATATTGAAGTATGCATTTAAAATTTCTAGGAATACAGTTAAAAATACAAAAAAAAAAAAAAAATTATATCAATTATCAAAAATATGTAAAGTTCAAGTAAGAAATAAAAAAAAGATAAAAAAAAAATAATATTTAATAATAATAAATTATAATTATATAATATAATAAAATAAATAATATATATATAATATATATAATAATAATATATAATATAATAAAATATAATAATTATAATATTAATATTATATGATATTATATTATTATATTATATCATATATTATAATATATTATTTTTATATTATTATAATTATTATTATTCTTATTATTTTTTTTTTTATTATTATTATATTATATATAATATTTTTTTCTTTTTATTATAATATTATATTATTATTATTAATTTTTTTTTTTTTAGATTACAAATTTTGTAATCTAATTCGAACAGCCGATATACCTGTGATCGTAAATACGTGTTCAAAAAAAGGTTGGGGGGATTTGATGGATTTAGATGAACCAAAACCAAATACTTACTAATTATAAATACCAAGTAAATTATTATAATCAATGCTTTAAATTATTTTCTAAAATGTTTAAACCAAACTCGATAAATATCATTGAAAAAATAAGGATAAATTTAAATTTTGTTTTCGCGGTACAATAATATTACTGATGAGTGATAAACTACCAACAAAAATCGTTGTTTTTCAAAAAATAAACGAACAGACGGTGTAATATTTTACAAACCGAAAGAAAACAAAAAATGAATAGGTACAAATTCCCTCATCCGCACTATATTTGTCTGTGCAGCCGTGTAAAAAATATGGATTTAAAATAGAATATTACGTTGAATGTAAAATACAATAAAAATAATAATATACGCGCGTCAATATCAGCGATATTAAATTTTATGTCGTGTGTGTGTGTGTGTGTGTGTGTGCGTGCGTGGGGGAGGCGCGTTTTTTAAAAAAAAACTACACATTTTAATATCCAAAATCCGTCTCGATATAAAACAGAAATGGTCTACAAGCACCCGTGCAGCGCAATGACGTCGCGCGCACACACGGCGATGGCATACGTGTATGATGTGTTCACACACATATATATATATTATACATACCATACATATTATTTTGTTCGTTATTACCGGAATAAAAGTGGAACAGCAGTCTGACGACGTTCGGGTGCCGTAGCCGTCTGTGCACGTCCAGTTCGTGATGGCCGCCGCCCGGCGACCGAATGCGCTTGACGGCCACAGTACGCGCCGTCCTGCCGCCGCCGGCCGACAACACCGCCAGGTAAACGGTGCCGAACGTGCCGCCGTCTAATACGGTGACGTACGAGATTTGTAGTGATCCGTCGGCGGCGGCGTTACCGAACGGCGTCATCGACGTGACGTCGTCGCACCGCGGACGGCCGGTGACGAGTAGTCTTCAGCGGGTTAGGCGGGCGCGGCGGTGTACACGTAACGAGACGGTGATGTACCGCGCGAACGATGAATATTGTTATTATTATGTTAAAACACTGTTTGTCGTCTTATGTAATGAAACGCACAAGGCATAACTTACTATATACGCAACGAATCGAAAAATAAAATAAAAATAATAATAATAATAATAATAATAATAATAATAATAATAAAGCTTACCGTTTACGCGACTGTTTACAAATTCAACAAACTTTTATTAATACGGTATTAGCGCATAACATAACATTACCGAGCCGCTCGCGGATACGCCCAAAAAAAATTAAATTATTGTGTAACGCGTTCTGATATTGACCTATAATATCATAATTTAAATGTTAAAATTGAATATCGATATTAAATTCCATTTTAAAATAAATAATTAAGTTTTTTTTTTTTTTTTTTTTTTTTTTTTTTTTTTTTTGGAGGGAAGTCTAAAATTTGTTATGGCATTTTTAAATTTTTTATGATTACTATGAAATACCTAGGCAGTTAAATACCCCCTATAATTATCTACATGATGGATGTTCATTACTGCGTACAGTGTACAGTAATATTATATTGATAGATTATAATTGTGATGGCGTTAATAAAGAAATAGAGAAATAAATAAACAATATGACTTTAACTCGTCCTTGTTTTTGGAGGAAAAAGAACAAGTTTTCAATACTGGAAATTCTGGCCCAAAAGTTTTAAATATGTCATTGGATATTTTGAATTAACTTCTTACTTGATTCACGGTAAGCTTCAAATATTCGGTAAGTGCGTATTTAAATCGGTTTCATACGGATTGACCTATCTTAATTTGTTGATAATCGTTTTCCTTATTCTATACTGTTAAATTGTTGGGTCAATAAACGATATTAGTTTTTATTGAGTATTATATTTTAATATTATCTAATTTCTTTGTTTTGAATAATGCATTTACCAGAATTGTAGTATTTTGTTTTGTTATTTGTTTATTATCATTAAATGCATATAATGGATGGAATGTTTTCTGCCGTGATCGATGTCCAAGGATACAGTTTTTTAATATAATATTATTTACATAGGTCTATTTAAAGTGTGATTTAGTGCTTCGTTTTAAACATTTTTAATCTTCTGAAATATATTATTTTTCTATAGTTCAATAAACTACCTAGAAAAAATTTTTTTTTAATTCAAAAAAATTCATATATAAACACTTAAATGGATAATTATCTATTAAAATAATATACTCAATGGCATTGTTTTTGTTGTACAATAATATTATAACATTACAACCGTCAATACCGTTTATTGTTTTTGTACATTACATTATTGATTATTTAATATCGTTATCGCGACGAATACCCTAGTTTTTCGCGGGTCACACCGTTAGATCACGAAACACGTTATTAATCAAGCGCATTAACCTTCGCGGCTATTAATTTCATTATTATAATATTTTTACAGAAATATATCCATGCGAATGTAAAAATATTATATATTTCCGCGGCGGGGGCGCATATTTAATATTCAATTTTGTTAAACTGCCGTATTGGTAACTAATGTTTGTCGCTTAAACGATAATTTATTCAAACGGCATTTCCTATATAAACGTAATGGTCGTAATGTACTATATTACGACATGTGACGTAGTGCAATGCAATGTGTCTGTCGTCGTCGTCGTTTATTTACTTAGGTTGGTGCGGCGCCTAGTAAGTGAATACGATTCGTATTATTCCTACGATTGCTGTGAAGGCAGGTACTTGGCGTGTTGCTATATAGTTATTATCGACAACGACTGGTGTATTCTACCTTCCTACGTGTTTGAATAATCCGTGTCTTCGGGTTTTTTTCCTTTCCCGCAAACGGACATTGGTAAACTTGCTCTTACTGGGTCTACCTACTAAGTAGTATATTAATATAATACGTTATTCAGTTATTAGTAGACATTTTTATAGCCTATAGGTATTAAGACAGTGTTGTAAATATCTCAGATAAATAGCTACGATATGTATATTATGTTATTGATTAAACTTGTAAAAACCCAATCACCGTGGAATGTTGGTCCTATGAGAAAAATCGACGTGTTATTTTATTATAATATATAATATTAAGATTTGCAATTCATGCATACTTTTTATAAACTATCATTATTTCAATTTTTTTTTGCAATTTATTTTTCTTTCGAGTGTTTAAGCCTTAAATATCACTTTAATCAGTATAATCCGTTACATTTTACTTACATGGGCGGTTATTGAAAACACCCGTAGCCCGTAGGTACTATCTTTGATGTATATTAATAGTATAATATTAACTTAAATATATTATATATTTGAGATTAACTTGAGATCGCCCTCCATCCACCAGTGATATAAGGTGCCTCTAAAAATCTAAGAGTTAGAATACATTATTAGTAATTTGAGAGAAAGTGCTAAAATTCAATATTTAAATATGGTATTGAATAAATTATAATTAACAATAAATTAATATTATTCTGGCTTATTATTAGGGAAATCAATAGATTTGCGAAGGGCTTATTAAAATTTAAGTCCAACTGACATGAGAAATATTATGTTTCATATTCAGTTTACTAAATAAAAATAAAAACTCTATTTAAATAAATATTTAGTAAAGTTGGTATATTGAATTATATTTGAGAGGCTTTACTCTTCAGTCATTCCACTCATCAACCTTCTTAGATTTTGCCAACCCTCTAGAAATTTTCAAATAAAATATTTATAGCAGTTATTTTTATTAATTTTTTAGTTACCATGATAATTATAAAACGCTAAATAAAATGTTTAAATTTATTTTATACATTTAATATAAAGATTATATTCATAGGACCTAACAAATTATTAAATTATAAAGAAATTCACTTAGAGTAAACATTTTTTTCCCCAACTATAGGATTTCGTTCTATTAACAGCTCTAAATGGCATTTGTATATGTGTATTACTATAATATAATGTAATATGTAAATAATTTTATTATTATCTAATTACTTCAGAATAATCTATATAAAAGCACACTTAGTGATAACTTTGTATCTACTATATAGATATGGCTATCAGACTGTATGAATCAATTAAAATGTTCAATATTCTAAATTTTGATCAAATATTTGATTATCTTAAGAAAATTAATGTTTACAAAAACAACATGCTTAAAATGTTTGCACATAACTGTTTATTGCCCACGAGAATAGCCAATGTCCCTGAACTAAACTTAAATAAATGTTCATTATAATATTATGTATATGGAGTATACCTAAATAGATAGATGTGTTTTAAGCGATTGTTTATTGCACGTTGTGAAATTAAAAAAAAACTGATTAAAATCTAAATTCTGCTTAAATTCCCAGTCGTTTCAATCATAATACCGATTCCGAGTAAACGTTTATTCTAAAATAAACTTATATGTAGGTGGATATACTAAGTAGTAGGTACGTAACAATATCTATATGGTTAATAACTGGTATATATATTTAATATAATATTATACCATATTGTGTAATGTAATTATTAGTCAAATAAATGGCCATAAATATTTTAACTTAAAATCTTACAATTGTAAGATTTTAAAAGATTTCTTATCAGCAAATGATTAAAACAGGATAAAAAAAAGAAAGTATATCTTTCGGAAAAAAAATTAGGAATACACTTAATCTCTTAACAAATTGAGAAATAGCAAATAAAATGATATCAATATGTTTATATATATATTTAATTATTTATTAGATTGATGAAAGGTATGTACATACTTGCAGGTGATTAACAAATTACCTTACATATTCGCTTTCAATATTTCTTTAAACAATAAATGTATTCAAATTTAGTAGAATATATTTTAAAGTACTTATATCGTTTTATATTATTTGAGGAGTGCAGTACTGTAACGTCTGTAACGATGTAAACTTTATTTTATTAAATAAGAACTACCCTTCTTACTGTAAAATATTAGTTGATGATTTTTTTTTTAAATATTTATATTTACCTATAAATTAAAATCCATACGTAGTTGTAAAAATTTATTATACATTATGTACTGAGAATCATAGTCCATGCTATAGCTGGTTTAAAGATCACTTATGATAATTTGAATACTATAATACTAATAATTAATAAAAAATATAATATAATTTGTTAAACATGTCCGAATATAATAAGTATAAGCGAAAGTCTAGAAACTAGAGTACTAGAATAAAAATATTATATCATTCTTATATTTACACACATAAATTTAATAACTATGTAACTATGTACATCCTTAGTAAATACTACATAAAGCTTAATAATTCAAAAACTACTTTTTAAATTTTGCTTTAGATACATCAAAGTTTTCAAAAAATTACTCTTTAACAATATACTGTAAAAATTGACGGTTCTCGTTTGAAGTTTGTATCAGTATAATTATGCAAGTTCACAAATTACATTCTTTAGATAGTATAAAAGTTCTGAGGAAAGAAATTAAATTCAACAACTATAAAATATACTGAAAATTCCAAAAATCAGAATTTGAACAATTTTATTACATTATATTATTTATTAAAAGGATAAAAAAGGTGATCTTGTTTGGTAAATCTCCCTGTACGTATATACCAGATGAACTGAAACATTTTACATATTGTAGGTATACACTTTTGTTTAATTTGGAAATTATTTTTGATCTGTTTGATTTATTGTTATTACTAAAAGTAAAAATTAACATACAAAAAATAAAATATTAATAACCACTAAGAAAAAATTATAATAATATAATTTTGTGTAATTTATTTAATCAACAACACCAATAATAGAAATTTTTAATGAAGTGATTAAGAAATATATAAATAATTGATAAAACATTAAATAAAAAATTATATACAAATATACAATACCCTACTAGGTAACAGTATTTACTTTTTTTATATACAATCTATACTTAATAAATAAATGAAAAATCTTGACAAAAAAA